TTGAAATGCTAGGTGAGTAAGACGCATTTCTGCGACAAAATAGAAGATATTTTCTCTTGCTTCAGTGAGATACAAGCAATAAAAATTGCTCAGTACCATATAATTTATTAGTATTGTGTGTATCAATATACGAAAAAAAACCGGTTTTTATTTGTGCCAAGATCTGCACCAAAAATTCATTCGCGGCTAATCGATATAATATGTGCATATAATATTTGTATCAAAAATGAACGTTTATAAAGTGTTTAAATTCTTGTGTGTGTGTTATCTTCAAATTAATTCTCATAGTCGAATATTAATTCTACAATCTAAAATCTTCACAATTTTTTTATTATTTGCTCGTTCATATTAAATCCTTTATTAAAATTATATTGTCTATAGTATAGGACAATGCATAATATGCTTACAAAATTTAGAACCATGGAGGTATCAGTTTATTATCATTGTTTGATAGATGTAAATTAGTAGAGAGTTGCGATTTGTGTCTTTAGATGCCTCTGTATGTACTGATCATATTATAGCTGTATCAGACTAAAATTTAACACTGTTATATGCGTTCTCCAATTTAATAAAATATTCCTTCATAAAAAATTTATATTCTTAATATAAGCTTTTTTAATAAAAAATTAAATACATATTGTTTTGGTATCAATTAGAAAGCTATATTTAAAAAAATTTATTTGAAAAATAGAAATCAGAGTTATCATAAATTCATAATTTTAATATATCTCGATTATCAAAATCGAGAGGAAAATCAAAATCGAGAGGGACATCAAAAGGGAAGGAAGAAAATTATATCCAAACAAAATTAGGAAGACAAGATTAGGAAGGATATGAGGAGAGAAACGGGATCTATAAGAACATTGCACGAAATGATTCATTATCACGTTCATATCACATGCTAGTTTAACTGCTAGGCCTACGTATTTACTGTTTCTTGCCATTCTCAGCGCTCTACGAGCATCTGCGAAGCATTCGGATCGAGATTCGGTTTATCTCGAATCTGCTTTATCGTCATTTCATCTCACTTCTAGCAATAATTTGTATCGAGTTAATTTTATATAAATTTTTTTTGTTGCCATTTTTTCATCTCTATGCAAATAATTCTATTTAAAAAAATCCAAGAATTCTAAGTACTAAGCTTTTATTAAAAATTTTAAAATTATTGTTGTGATTTGAAGAAACGATAATATTTATCACTTAAATGTATCCTAGAAATTCTCGTAATTTTTTATTCTTATAAAATTTCTTTATTTTCAATTGCTTGTAATTTAAAAATTATTAATGCCTCGCCATTCCAAGATAAAATCGATTTCATATTGATCAGAAAATCTATTGTTAAAATTGAGGTCATCGATCGTGATTGACGTGATGCATCTTTAGTATTTTGCATGAGAACCTACATTTTCATTGTGTAATAGATTTAATCTTATTTCTTAATATTACATCATTGAATACTCAGACACAATCGCCAGACAAGTCGCAAGATTAAATAAGCAATGCAATTAGCATGAACATATTGTTAAATGATGTTGACCGCATTTCTAGTACAAGATATACGGAGTATTAGCAAAAATCAAAGACATAGAAAGCATGAACTGCTTTCATCCAATCTATAGCGGAAAGTATTCACTCGAATAGAAAGAACAAAACTACTTAATAAAATTCGCTATCTTTTCGGACGTAAGTCAGTCCTTTGTGTATCTTTCATAAAAAAAAGAGAAATAGCTTATTAAATATCGCTATCCCTGTTGTTGCATTCCTATATCTGATTCTCGCTTACGAGTAATCTGCGTTTCTTATGTCTATGGCGCAAATGCGACGCACGCCTACGCACAATGACTTCCGCGACCGAAAAGCGCATGCGTTAAGAGAGGGTAAGAAGACTTCGATCGACCGAGCAAAAGTAGGGTAGGGGTAAGCAAGCCGAATTCGGATAGTCAATGCGGCAGAATCAGCTGCTCCGTGCTTGGACTCCGTTCGTTTCCGTTAATTCAACACACGAAAGAAATTCGTATGATAGTGCCGGTGTAGAATTCGTTTATTCATAAAAGAGCCCCGAAATCGCGATTCTTCAGAAGCGCGAAAGAGGGAAGTCGCGTAAGCCGATATATTCGGGTATATATTGATCCGGGGTGGATATTTGACGGGTGGATATATGTATATATACATATAAGCAGAGTGCGCGCCGCGTATTCCCCCGCGAGGAATAGCCGTGATCATCGGTGTAACTTCCGCGAGCAAGGGCCTCTCCCGCGCAGGCCCTCTCAACATTCATTCCAGAGGGAAAAAGATGGGCGTTGAGATATTCTACTGCCTACATGACTATCTGGGAATAGAACGCTGCAAGAAATCGTATTTAGGTAAGCCCGACACAACCGCGTTCGTCGACCTGAATGACACGCAGGGCATCGTCGCGAGTGAACGCCACGATGAAAGTTCTGCGTGCATTTTAATGAGAAAATACTCATCGATTAGTTGTAGTGATCGATCTAAATTGCGTTAAAGTTCTAGAAATAAACCACTGTGCAATGTTGGAAAAAAGATATTTACTTTACAGTTCAAATGATAAGAGAGATATCTTTCAATCTTGCAATTAATCTCTTTTAGTATATAATTTTTATTCTTTAAAAAAGATAAAACGAGAATTAAATTTAACATCATCAAATTTAAAAAATTTATTTTTTATTAAATCCTTATCTTTTGTATTATAGATATATACAATATAAAAATACATCCGGCATTTTGGCTATATATAGGTACATGTGCCCAAATATTTTGAAAGAGAAAAGAGAAATCTCTGGTTATTTTCTTTTCATTTATCTTGCATTTATGTCAAATGCACAAGTAAATAAATTTAAAGTAAAAAACAAGAAAAAAGCAATATCTCAGTCTTTTTGTTTGTGATATGTCTTCATTATATCTATTATAAAATATATAATTGATATCGCGAATGTGCCTTTTATTATTGTTATTGTTAATTTATCTATTTTATTAATAATTTTAAATAATTACCGAACAATTATATAAATAATTGCAATAAGCTTTATGCAAATAAATAAAAAAAGAATACCTTAGGATATTTTAAAGAATATTTTCCAAATATGCAGTTTATTCAAACTTACAGTTTCAGTAAATTGCATCGATCGATTCATTTTTTTTATAAATTTTCCTTTGACTGACCTTAACAATTTTATTATCAAGGTTTTGCTTAATCGAATGAGTGGCAAAAGTTTTTTATACGATCTATCATTTATATTATCTTTTATTCACAATAATACTTTTCTCAATTAAGTTGTTTATCTTTGTTTCGTAAGTCTTATACATACGGTATTATTTTGCGCAAATTGCTTGTCAGCAGTAATTTAATAAACTCTATCTGTAATTTAATTATGGGTTTGTTGGGTCAATCTCACCAAGTGCCATACACGTGTAGAGCAATTCTTTTTGGTGCCGGAGATTTATATATGTACAGAAGCGTTGTCGAACTTATCTTTTTTCGATACGCAAAGAGATTGCTGCTATTTTAAAAGTTTGTTTGTCAACATTAATAATATACATATGTATTATATTAAAGTTTTACTAAAGAAAAGACTCTAGCAAAATTTAATAAAAAATACTAAAGTTTAATCGAAAGAGAAAGAGAAAGAATCATGTTTTTTTTTACACCCTATATATTGCTACGGCGAAAGTAATGGAAAAGTACTGCGAGATCTATAGAAGATTACACAGAAGTGGTAGAACTGTATAGTTTCACAAGGAAGTCTAAGGTAAAGACCCTTAGAAATATATTAATATATAATTACCTATCATCTTCAAAAATATATATAGATTTTATACACAAAAATTCTGTTTGTTACATTATATAAAGTGCAATTGCAATCCTTATCTATAATAAGAATGACATTGTACTCCTGCTGAGAAAGAAAGAGATAAAAGATATTAACATATAAATAGATAGATACATATGTTTTTCTCATCACGCTCCTATTGCTCTTTTATCGTTTCTATCCAAGATAAGATTCTCATTCTCTCTTCTCTTTGGTTATAATATTTGTGACTAATAACAGCTATATTCGAAGCATCTTTGTAATTTTAATACAATTATGATAATGTGAAACAAGATTCCTACATAATATCAAAGTCGATGATAAATAATAATTGCACATTTAGATAGCGTAAAAAAATACAAGGGTCAGTATCTCCAGGATAAATATTCTGATACTTTTTTCATATTATATCTATTTGCAATCGTACACACAAACGCGTGGCTATGCTGATAAAAACGTAGGATAAAATTGAATGAATTAAATTATTACCGAAGAAAGAAACACTATAATCCTACGGCAATGCTTCGACAACCGGCATACAACGGGGCGCGATGGAGGAAAGGAGGTGGACGAGCACGTGCTCACCGAGTGATAGAATTTTTTTTCCGAGCTAAATAAGATGACTCACTCTTGGTGGGGAAGTTGGCGAACCAATGGAAATGCGGGCGAGTCAGCGCGCAAAGCGAGATGAATGAAAAATACTGAAGGAAAGAGCGAGCTGGAGAATACCTTTGAGGAATCAATGTGCGTAGCGTGTGCACGTGATCGAGAGAGAAGGCTAGAATTAATGAGAGAGAGAGAGAGAGCATGAATGGAGCGAGCGAGACGTAAAAGCGGAGCCGCGTACAGATATGTGAGAGGAAACGTGATGAAAGATACACTGTATATCGGAATATTCAGTAACGTATCTTGAATGAATCAGGGCCAGGGGCAAAGATGTAACGTATATTTCGCGAAATCGATAGATATACTTGAGCATCTTAACCGATACCGCAATTTCGCATACACTCACGTCGAACCTGAGATAAAAGAAGGAACGAGACAGAGATTACTCGCATAATTAAATGAGAAATTGAATGAGTGTGAGAAGGTATAGTTGATAGGCTACTTAGCGAGACAGAGAGAAGGAGGAACGGGGAGGGGAATCCGTGTATTCCAGCACGAAACTCCGTCGTTGTTGCCATCGTCGAAGTGCGTTTCTGTCGGTCGCCACGCGTACACCTGACCTGACACAACCTGGGGTGTTAATAAAGTCTGAACTCGTGTTGTTTCTTGTCGCGAGATCTATGTGAGTTTTGACATTTGTTCTCTTAGTGAGCCGGCGGAATTGCGGCAATTTGCCGTGAATAAAAAACTGTGAAAGACGTCCTGCGAATTGTCCTGGCGATTTATTTGATACGCAACGAAAAACGACAAATAGCGAATTTTCTTGTCGCTGCATTTATTTGCGTTTTCGGAGAATGTTTCTCATCGCACCGGTCGATAATAATCGTTGGGTCTACGCAATGCACGGATTGGAGAAGCCTATGGATCATATGCCCGGTAATAATTTATCAGATGTATTTAGAAGTATTGATAGGGGATATGTATCTTCATCTGTAGAGGGTCGATGTCTTAAAATTGGAAAAATATATAATAAAAAAATATATAATCTATTCACAGCGCGACAAATTTTGAAATGATATTGTTATCATTGAACATGCTTAAAAGGCATAAAGTATGCTTAAAGAATCGTGAAAATGCATCATATTATCTCATAAACACGTCAAATATGTAGTAGAGAAAAGTAGATAAGAAATAGATAAGAAAATAATATTTTCTTATATATATATTTTTTTCGTTCCTGACAACACACGAGTTAAATCTGTTTACCAGAATATGCTAATATTAGTGGTGCCAGCATGTCGCGATTCTTGTTCACGTGTCTCACGAATGAACGTTTGCATTTTCAATTATAGTGTTTTCTTGCTCGCGATAGACATACATAGAAATGATCCGATGATGATTGCGCATCAAGCAGCTGCAATTTGCATACGTGTTATGAGTCAATAACTTCTTCAAGTTATAGAATATTTTTTTGCATAAATTGTTGCTATCGCTTTCGAGATCAAAATAAATCCTTAATCGTATCGATATAATTACGAGAAGAATATCAGTGGTGATATAATATTAGAGAATCAGAATCCAATAATTTTAAATGAAAATCATAATGCAATAAATATTATTAATAATTTAATCAAATTAAAGGCTCGCTATTATCTAATTTCAGTCTAATCTGGTATTCCAGACAGACGGAAATAGCTCTCATTGCCTTGTCACCTCGTCAAAACACTCGCTATATGCGATCGTAAAGGTCAATTATAGTGTTTTCTTGCTCGCGATAGACATACATAGAAATGATCCGATGATGATTGCGCATCAAGCAGCTGCAATTTGCATACGTGTTATGAGTCAATAACTTCTTCAAGTTATAGAATATTTTTTTGCATAAATTGTTGCTATCGCTTTCGAGATCAAAATAAATCCTTAATCGTATCGATATAATTACGAGAAGAATATCAGTGGTGATATAATATTAGAGAATCAGAATCCAATAATTTTAAATGAAAATCATAATGCAATAAATATTATTAATAATTTAATCAAATTAAAGGCCCGCTATTATCTAATTTTAGTCTAATCTGGTATTCCAGACAGGCGGAAATAGCTCTCATTGCCTTGTCACCTCGTCAAAACACTCGCTATATGCGATCGTAAAGGAGGAGCGTGTTATCAACGTGATAACGAATAGAATTACTCGTACATCTGGCCATGTGTTATGCACGTGAACAGCGCGTGTTTACCGTATTAACGAGATACGAATAGGATGAATTCCATACAGACACATGCTATTTCACCGATATAGTCTCGCTAAAACACGGCCTATAAATAACCAACAACATACGCGAAGGTCGCAAAGGAACGTGAAAAAATACGCCGTTTATCATTTAGCGCTCGCATTTACCATTATGCACTTGATAAACCCTAACTTTGCATCCTGTAAGATGCATTTCTATTTTTTATACTCTCGCGATTTCTTAATGAATTTATTTACAGAATTTTTTTTTAAATCTTTCTGAAACTTACACTTTATCTTTGAAATGTTGATATTATTTATGAAATGTTTCATTTTCATTTCATTGAAATGCAAATACATTTCGTTGCAAATTCATTAAGATAAGATTAGAAGTTTGTCTGTCTCAGCATCGCATCGTATAAAATTTAATACCACATGGAGTATATTGCATACTATACACTAACAAAATATGTTGACGATAATAAAAAAATATTGATGATTTTCGTAATGAGAAAAACATCAAAGATAACATAAAATCGAAACGACGTAAGTCGGTAAGCGTTCGCGGTAACTGTCTCGGCGAAAGTTTTTTAGAATATCTTACGTTTCAGTTCACACCGATGAGAACCGTAACATTTCAGCGAGCACGTGAACACAAAGCGGATATTTTTATTTTAAGTACTACGAATAAGAAAATAAAAGTCTCTGCTCTGAAGATCAAATTTACATACACGTGGGCATGTTTTAGATGCGTTAAATACAGTCAGCCTTATTATTGTAGATGATTAGAGCAATCAAGTCGGACTAATTATATTTAATCGGAGTGTTTTGAAATTGCGTTCAATATCAACATGAGATAAGAATCAAAGTCCGACTATCGAATACATTTTCACAAACGTGCGACATGAATATGGCAATATTATTCGGTGATAAATAATGTATAATAAGAAAGCATAACTTCATGAATTCATCGTTAATTAACGATCACTCAATACACTGTATGTATACATATCTGGTATATATGTATTCGTTAACGGGACGGGAGCCAAACGAAGCGCGGTGACATCCTTTCTCGGACGAGCTACGCGATATTAATATCACATTTTCATTCGCGACGAGAGCCAACGACGCTCACTTTGCGCATCGCGCGTACGAATTAAAACGCAGGGCCGGTGCGTGAGTCACATGTTGGGATATAGAGTAGAGCATCTCGTCTCAATGATTTTATTAGTTAAGTTATTTCGTTTTGTGCAGCCGGTGGTGTTATGGCGGGCTCCGTTGCCACTTTGGCGATTCTCTGGGTGTCCCTGCAGACGTTGGGCTTCCTGGGGCACTCTCATTCAATCGGCACGTACAAGGTGCCCGACTCACTGCAGAATTATCTTGCCGCTGGTAAGTATCCACTGCAATCGGATTTAATCAAAAATCTCACGCCGCGAAATATGAAAGGTCGAGAGAGCAATTTTATGATTTTAGCTCCCGCAAATATTTCCATAAATATCTTGGTAGAAATCTCGGTTGAAATTACTGTCGTATAATTAATGGAATGTTGAAACGTGTTTCTATGGCCTGTTTTTAAACACATTTTACATATTTTGTACTACTTTTTTCTACAGAATCGCACATTTTCGGCGAAAAAATAAATTCGTAATTTTAACATTATTACGTGTACTATCTATCTTTAAGCTCGCGTCGATTTAACAATTATTGGAAATGATCCAGACATGCCAGACAATATTCGATCGGTCTTATTTCGGAATAAAGGTTCAAGTTGAACGTCGAAAGTTTTGTTAAATGATATTTTTCGATACATCGCATTTTAATTTATTTTACATCGCATGTTATTTAAATTATAGTTCACTCATTATCTCGGAATGTTCCAAAGAACCGTTTTCAGGATTACCAACCATTAACTACGGCTCAGATGCCGTCGTGGACACGGGCCGTTTCGGAAATCGAAGATTGCCCAGGATCGATGGAACTACTCTAAACAACTCGATCGCATTCGCGCAAACGCTGATCAATCACATGAGGACTCTTGAGAGAAATATCGCGAATGCTGGTATCGAACTCCAGGCACAGAGTCCGGCTCAGAAACAATTCTGGGATTCTTATCCATCCACAGATGCTTTCGAGAGGAGTATCGGTGCCATCGTAGCGACGAAAGCATCGTCGTATCTCGTGCACCAAAACTGCCGCAGGTACGCATTTGATTAATTAATTGAGATATCTTCCAAATATTTTTATCTTTATTAATCGTCAAATACGATATTCCACTGTACAGAGATTACGGATTCTGCAATATTGTTAATACATAATTTATTATTATCGATCATTATCGAATCTCGATATCCTTTTCCTTGCAGGCCGAAATTAATCGACATTCGTATCTGAATTTATGTGATTTTATCGCAGGTTTGGTTTAGATAAGAATGACTGCGCCCGCTACATATCGACGCTCGGTCTGCAGGGTACCCCGCTCGGTGAATCTTGCGCCACGGTGTATAGCGTGGAATGCGACGAAATGTCAAAGTACCGCAGCATCGACGGCACTTGCAACAACATTGAGAATCCGAGCTGGGGCAGCGCCATGACTGCGTACACCAGAGTTCTGTTCTCCCAATATTTCGACGGTAAGGGTGTCTCCTATCGTGATCGCGCTTCCTCTCCCTCTCTTTCTAGCCCTCCCATCGCGCTTCCATTTGTCAACGATATTAGTTCGCGATACGGCATCGTTCTCTTATCACCCGTCCAGGCTTGAATTGCACATATCAATCGTCGCGTTACTATATTATTAGGGAAATAATTGCTGATCGCGCGTCACATCGTACTCTTTCGATCCAGTCGCGGAATAAGCCCCCGCGCGCGAATCATACCTCAACCCCTGGGATCTTGCACGGGACGAAATTTCGTAACAGAGCGGTTTGCAAATGCGCGCTCTTTGTCGTTAATTTTTGTGTGGAATAATAATGGTATAATTATTTGCAGCCTCTGAACGTTTTGCGCTTTCCTTTTTTTTCCGCAATTCCATTCAAGTCAATCCCCTCTCCTCCTTCTGCCCGATTCTACCCCTTGGGAAATTATCTGCCTCCTGATAGGGTCAGTTTCGAGTGAGACAAGATTTTTTTGAATAAAGTAAATTGCGCGAAATCGTATGCGAGTTTCTCGAATCAAAAGTATTAGATATACCGACATATCAACAATGTTATCGTAATGGATAGAGAATGATAAGATTACGACGATTATACAAAACATTGAAAATTCTTCGCGTTTTTTAATTTGACTACGTGCACTTAGAATGTTTACCGCGAATGTCGCGAATAATAACTGGTGTTAGGTAAGCGTTGCTTTGTGCGATGCTCGTTCGCAGTTGCATATCGATTATATTGTTACGTGCGTTTCAAAAAAACATAGCGAATGCGTCATCGCGACAAGATACGTGGTGATAAAAATTCGTACCATTTAGTCATCCTTGCAGATATTTTTATTGGGAAATGACAGTTAGAAATAATGACGACTGTGCAACGGCGATTATACATTATCTACTCGCACAGTCGTAGTAGAGTGATAAATACCTACATGTGTCATACCGCGGTTATGTTAACGCAGATAAAGAGGGATGCATAATTTTGTTTTCACTCCACTCGAGTCCACTCGGGTCAGATAAAGAGACCGGTATTATTGTATTCTCTTTCTGCGGACTTGCGAGATTCTCGAGCTTCTTATTACATGGGACATGAATTCACTAAACGACACACCGCATTACCCGCATTATGTCAATGTCATTCATTGTTGATGCATTAGCTTTTGTGTCTTGCGCGCTTTTTTCAAGATATAAATAGATTCATTCTAAGATACTTAGAATTTTTTCACACCTAAGAGTTTAGTTAACACACTTTAATACTAGAGTACGAAACATATGAGTTTGAAATCAATACTTAAAAAACGAGAATAAATGAAGCTGATATAAATTAGTAAATTTAGTCAACGATAATCTGTTCGCATTCTAAGGATTAAAAATATTGATTGTTATTAATCGAGTCTCATTATTATTTCTATTTTCCGCCTGTTATATTTTGTCTTTTAATCTGTAATATTAAAATCAGAATAAAATATCGGATCCATGTATTAAAATTTAAAAAATGGGAATATAAGAACATAATAAAAACTATTTTTTATCGAAAGGATCCAATCAAACATGCGTGAATTTGATATTTTGCGGATATCATTTGTATGATACAAATATAATCATGTATTCTATGTCAGCTATCTCGCTCATAGAAAACAAATATACAAGATAATCGATATTTTTGTTATAATATCGCGCGTGGAAAGTTCTAATCTATAAACAGCGTAATATGATTAGAAAATGTTAAAGAGTTCGCATTGCGAAGAATTCACGATAAAATTGCGAACGATTTGTTTTCTACGATTTATGTCACGGCGCACTTTTTTCGTGTCCGGTATCATCCAAAGCTTACCGATTAGATATCGCTGCATTTTTGATTTTTCCATCCGAGCAGAATAACGTCTTTGGATGTTGTCTCATCACGAACCAGCAACCTCGATCTACTAACCTACCTACCCGACTTATCATCTCCATAAAACACATTCACGTATATACATATACATACGTAGACACATATATATGTATGCATGTGTATAAACACGATATATACTAGATGCGTACATGCATACGGACATACATGTATATATATACACATATATGAAATCGTACACGCATACTAATCCTTGGGCGCAAATGGATAAACGTTCGTCGATTGGCTTAACAAATTATATTCTGTGATTTGCATTACAGTTGTTGTGCGATAAGGCACATAGAGCATAAAATGCCTGAGTGTAGCAGTGAATAATACTGCCTACAATAGGTGCCCCGGTCGGGAGATTCTATCCAGCAGTAGAAAATGTGTATGTAAACTAATTCGGATATACCTAATAATGTATCATATTTATTATGTAACACTAGTTCGAATTCTTTTCTGTTCAATTCGCGCCAATACGCGGCTCTCGCGAAGGTACCCGAGCGAGGGGACTCGACTTGGGAGTCATATCTAATTTAGCCGCATCTAATAGATAGTTTTGCCGGCTAATATATACATATTTTACGCGATATACGCGCCTCCGGGTGAAAAGAGTAGAAGCATATCATATTTCCAAGCGTAAATTTTTTATTTGATAAAATAGTGATAGTCTTCATTCTCACATATCGCTTGAATTTCTCATCTTTTAACATAAATTGCTCGTAGAAACACTTTTGTCACATTCGCGGCGAATTCTCTATATCTTTAAAAATCACAATTTAGAATCTTCTCCCAATTCGGTTCACTCGTTCGAACGCCTTCATCGATCATCTACATCTATATCAGATAAGTTCGCGGGACGTTTCTGCGAGCGTTCTCGATCCGAGCGGCCGTAACTTCGATGCCAGGGTATCGATTAAATCCGATCGTTTCACAATCGCGTCTCTGCCACGCTTTAACAGCAACAACAAACGGCTCGTCGTTCGACAACGCATCAGAACGTACAAGTCGAAGTAGTCGAAGTACTTACTCGCTTTGCAGCACGAGATTTAGGATTCTTCAGGGACCGATCAGTACCAAAAACGAAATTAATTCTCGCGAATGGACGATATAATTATGTCAGCGATAATAACACGCTTGTTTATGATTCGTTCCGCGCATGTTTGTGATGCAAAAGAAATTACTTCCCTGATCGTTCCCTGTTAAATTTATCGCGCGGGCAAGATAGGCAGGCGCAGTTAGGATTTCAAGATTAGTACAGCCGGCAATAAACTCGCCTATTTATATAGCTAGAGCAGAATATTTCTATGCAGCTATAGACATTCTTGTAATCTTCTCTCGTGCTACATTGCCACGCATACCATTTTAAGCGCGCGCGCGTATTTCAGCTCGCTAAAATCGGAGTAATCACAATGATAAGATATAATTTCAATATTATGCGAGTGTATTCGCGTTCACAGATGCGGATTAATTATTTTATGAATTGTCGTATCGTTTTCCATTACGATTTTGCTCTTCACGCGACTTGATAATTATGATTTATTCTGTCTCGCGAGTGTTCGGCGAAAGCACCACGTCGCGCCAAAATAGCACCGATTTACTCCGATTTTGCGACTTTGTACTGTTCACGCGACAGAGATTTAATGTTCGATTTGGGCAGGCATCCAAGAACCGAGGCATATTGGACAAACGAAGAAACCACTGCCAAGCTCGAGGCTCATAAGCGCCGCTTTGTCCATTGCGAACGATCAATCAGATGCAAGCAGAACACTGGCCGTGATGGAATGGAGCCAATTTATCGCTCACGACATAGCTCACACCGCAGTTCGTAAAATGGGTAAGTGGATAAATTTGTATGGATAAATTTAAATGTCTAATTTGAGCCCCAGCGCGTAGATTTATTAATTTCTCATCTGTTTCGTAAAAAGTGTGCAAGTGTTTATCGATTTAATATAATTTTATAATCTCAATCGAATTTGAATAATAGAAAATATATATTTCTTATTAGATAAATTGATATTCGCATGTGATATAATTTCATGAAAAATTTCTTAAAAAACGTTATTGTATTCGTTATCAAAATTGTATGATATCAAAATTTAGAAATGATGTGTCAAAGCAAGCGTCAAGTAAATCTGTAAAATATGTCAATTCTCTCTTCGCCATAATTTCATCATTAAAAAAATTATTTTTTAATTACAGTCTCAACTGGAAAACCGATCTCTTGCTGTCAACCTGATGGAGATACTCTGTCACCGCGTCATATACATCCAGATTGTTCTCCTATCAGCGTGCCAGAACGCGATCCCGTTTATGGCGAACATTACGTTCGATGCATGAATTACGTTCGCTCTTTACCTGTCTTAAGATCGGACTGCACTTTCGGACCAGTGGAACAGGTACGCGATTATTACTTTCCGAATTCGAGATTGTGATAGTTTAGCATCTTACTTCAAAAAAATATAATATAATTATCTTATATAAAACTCAAAAAATACTACTCATCACGTCAGTTATAATTGAGATTCGCACAATTCATTATATAAATAATAATCTATTAATCTATATATATATTTTGCAGATGAATCAGGTGAGCCACTTTTTGGACGGTTCGACAATTTACGGATCTACCTTGGAAAAATATCGCGAGAT